TCTTACTCATTGTCAGAGGGATAATAGGGAAAAGTAGGGGTGGCACGGTGGCTCAGTGGATGCACTGCTGCCTCACAGCACCAGGCACCCAGGTTCAATTCCAACCTCAGGTGAGTGTCTGAGTGGAGTTTGCTCATTCTTCCCATGTCTGCACAGGTTTCCTCCAGGTGCTCTGCTTTTCTACCACAGTTCAAACCTCCACAGTGGGCTGGGTGGATTGGCCACATTAAATTGCCCATAGTGTCCAGGGATGCATAGGTTAGGTGGATTAGCTATGGGAAATGCAGGGTTAGAGGAATACAGTAGGTGGCTGATTCTGAATAGGATGCTCTTCGGAGAGTCAGTGTGGACTTGTTGGACCAATGACTTGTTTCCACAGTGTCAGGATTTTATGAGATGTAGGATTTGTGCAGATTTGTAAAAGTGAAAGGAGGCTAATCCTGGGCCTTTTTAAAAAATTTGTTCATGGAATTTGGACATCACTGGCTAGTTCAGCACTTATTGCCAATTACCCAGAGGGCTGTTGAGAGTCAAACATGTTGCTCTGGGTCTGGAGTCACACATGGGCCAGACTAGGTAAGGATGGCAGATTTCCTCCCCTAAACGAACATTGGTGAACCAGATTTTTTTTTTTATTAATGTGAGAGTTGACAATGGTCGGCATTAGACAAGTTTTAATTCCAGATTTTTATTTAATTAAATTTTCACCATCTGCCATGGCAGGATTTGAACTCATGTCCCTTGAACATTAGCTGGGGTTCAGGATGACTAATTCAGTGACAAAACCATTCCAATGTTCGTGCCATGTGAATGCCAAACAATGACCATTTCCAACAAGACAGAATCTAACCACCGCCCCTTGACATTCAGTGGCATTACCATCACTGAATCCCTCACTATCAACATCCTGGGGGTTATCATTGACCAGAAACTGAAGTGGACCAGCCATATAAGAGCAGGTCAGAGGTTAGGAATCATGCAGCAGTAACTCACAAAGCCTGTCTACCATCTACAAGGCACAAGTCAGGAGTGTGATGGAATATTCCCCACTTGCCTGGAGGGGTGCAGCCTCAACAACACTCAAGAAGCTTGACACCATCCAGGACAAATCTCTGTTCCCATTGAAGTTCCCAATGCATGGGCTTCCCTGCTTGCTGATGTAAACCTTGGATCTTCTGAAATTGCTGACAGGACAATGAATTACTGTGATTTCTAATCACTTTCGGAAATGCAGCAACAAATTTTCACACAGCAAATTCCACTATCAATGTGATAATGAACAGATAATCTGCTTCAGTGATTTTTAAAATTATTTCACATGTCAGCATCACTGGCTGGGTTAGCATTCACTGCCCCTTGAGAAAGTGGTGGTGAGCCACATTCTTGAATGGCTGCAGTCTATAAATCTAACCACTGCCCATTGACACTTAATGGTGTTATCGTCATTGAATCTCTCACTATCAACATCCTGTGGGTTACCATTTGCCACAAATTGAACTGAATTAGCGACATAAATACAGTGGTTACAAGAGCAGGCTGGGAGTACTGCAGTGGGGATCTCACCTCCTGACTCTCCAAAGACTGAACCATCTACAAAGCACATGCCATGGGGAGATGATGGCCTAGTGGCTTGTCACTGGGCTGTTAATCATGAGATCCAGGCAATGTCCTCGGAACCCGCGTTCGACCTCTGATGTGACAATGGTGGAATTTGAATTCAATTTTTAGAAATCTAGAATTAAGAGTCTAATGATGACCATGAATCCATTGTCGTTTGTTGGGAAAAAAACCCCATCTGGTTCACTGATGTCCTTTAGGGAAGGAAACTGCCATCCTTACCTGGTCTGGCCTACATATGACTCCAGATCCACAGCAATGTGATTGACTCTTAACTGCCCTCTGGGATGGGCAAGAAATGCTGGCCTCGCCAGTGACACCCTCATCCCTTAAAAGACAACACACAAGAAGCTTGACACCATCCAGGGCAAAGCAGCCCACTTGATTAGCACTACATCCACAAGTATCTACTCCCTCCAACACCGACGCTCAGTAGCAGCAGTGTGTAATATCTACAAGACTCGCTGCAGAAATTCACCAAAGATCCTTAGGCAGCACCTTCCAAACCCATGACCACTTCCATCCAGAAGGTCAAGAGCAGCAGATACATGGGAACACCAACCCCTGCAAGTTCCCCTCCAAGCCACTCATCATCCCGACTTGGAAACATATCGCCATTCCCTCAGTGTCACTGGGTCAAAATCCTGGAATTCCCTCCCTAATGGCATTGTGGGTCAACCGATAGCTGGTGGACTGCAGCGGTTCAAGAAGACAGCTCACCACCACCTTCTCAAGGGCAACGATGGATGGGCAAAAAATACTGGCCCAGCCAGCTTTGACCACATCCCATCAGTGATATTTTGTAAAAGACGCCAACACCTCCCCTCACGAAAAGCAAAGAATGATATTAAGAGATGGTGTTATTCTGGCTAGTCTACGATCCACAGCCAGGTTTCAAATTGATGCAGCGACACTGCCTTCTCATTGGTGTGACTGAAGCCATTGTCTGGAGAGTGGACCTGTGACGCAATGTTGTGCTGTATTGCTAAGAGAGACCCTTGACCAGTTGGGACTTCAGCCTCAATAACAGGATAACAGCTCCCTGCGGTAACAGGAGCCTGGGAGATAGAGAAGGCAGCACAATACCAAAAGCCAGGACAGCTTGCCAGCACAGTGTTCTGAAGGGAATGTTCATACTCGGACAACTCACTCTGTTACCCCATCCAAAAAAATGCCCAGACCTCCATCCCATATCACCCCACGCCCTGCCAGAGTGGAAACGACAGCTAAAGTTGAGAAAATGAAAACTGAAAGAGCTGCAGATGCTGTAAATCAGAAACAAAAACAGAGGTTGCTGTAAAAAACTCAGCAGGTCTGGCAGCATCTGTGGAGAGAGATCAGAGTTAACGTTTCGGGTCCGGTGACCCGTCCTCAGAACTTTGAAGTTGTTGAATTTGTTAAAATGGAGGTTAAGGCCAGAGAGCTGCAGAAGGAATGATTGGAGTGAACACTTACATAAAGGTTAGACTGGTATTTGAGAGAGTAAGAAATCGAAGGTTCAATGACGAACTCAGTTGAGGAAAAACGGGAGGAGGCTCAAGTGGAGCATTAACACTTGCATGGGCTGGTTGGGATGAATAGCCTGTTCTGTACAATACATTTTATCCAATCCTATGTAAAGTATCCAATAGGTCAGGTAGTGTACCTTGAACTTGTTTCTCCTTGTAACAGAAATTACGTAGATTTAGTTATCACACTAACCTAATGCTAATTTCTCCGGATTTACTTCATACAGTGAAAGTGAGGAAGCAGAAGAAACACTTCATGACAACACCTATCAGCTTTACGTTCCTGTGCGATGTGAAGCAGATATTCTCCTCACAAGGTACAGGTTAGATCGCACTTACAGAACTCTCTCTTCACCCTCAATACTCCAACAGAACAGCTCAACCTATCTAACTGATCACCCTCAATATGAAGTTTCAGCTTCAGTCAGGCTCCAGAATTCCTTCCTCCCTCGCCTCCTTCTCATTGACTTTTTTAGCCACCCAACCCAATACCACCTTTGAAGTGGCATTCATTTTTTTGCCCAGTTTTGTTTCTGTGACACACAGTGGAGCTTGATTCTGCATTAAAGGCACTACCTTGAATGCAAATAATCGTTTTTCTAAACTTCAGAAAGTCTTTAATTTATTTTAAGTCAATTTGTCACATAGAAATTACTTTAGGCTGTGATGTTTTTGTCACAGTTTGTTGTCAGCTTTTTCCTATTATAACTCCCCATGCCCTCATTTTTTTTAATGGGAATAGCGAATGTAAGCTTGTCACAATGTAATTACAGTCTCCTGCCAGTGGTGATGCTGTCACACCTCAGCATCACACTTAGAGTCATAGAAATATACAGCACAGATACAGACCTTTCAGTCCAACTCGTTCATGCTGATCGGATATCCTAAATAAATCTAGTCCCATTTGCCAGCATTTGGCCCATATTCTTCTAAGCCCTGAGATAACAAGGTGTAGAGCTGGATGAACACAGCAGGCCAAGCAGCATCAGAGGAGCAGGAAAGCTGACATTTCGGGCCTAGACCCTTCTTCAGAAAATCGTTATCTCAGATTCTCCAACATCTGCAGTTCCTACTCCCTCTAAGCCCTTCTTATTCAATACCCATCCAGATGCCTTTTAAATGTTGTATTTATACCAGCCTCCACCACTTCCTGTGGTAGCTCGTTCCAAACATGCACCACCCTCTGCATGAAAATGTTACCCCTCAAGTCCTTGTTAAATCTTTCCCATCACCTTAAGTCTAAAACTTCCAGTTTTGGACTCTCCCAGCCTAGGAAAAAAGACATTGACTATTCACCCTATCCATGCCCCTCATGAATTTATAAACCTCTAATAAGGTCACCGCTCAGTCTGTGACGCTCCAGGGAAAATAGTCTCAGCCTATTCAGCCTCTCCCTATAGCTCAAACCCTCCAACCCGGACAACATCCTTGTAAATCTTTTCTGCACCCTCTCAAGCTTACATCCTTCCTATAGAAGGGTGACCAGAATTGCACATAGTATTCTAAAAGTGGCCTCACCAGTGTCATGTAGAGCTGCAATATGATGTCCCAAATCCTATTCTATATGTTCTGACCAATGAAGGCATGTGTCTAACCACTCAGCCTGTACTGCAGACACACCCGTACCCTCCACTCACCCTCGAGTTTTCTGCTTGCACTATGTTCTGCTATTGAACATTACATCAAAATTAATTTGAAGCAAATGACTGCAAGTTATTTTGTGGCAAGAGAACATTTAATTCAGTGGTTTTCCACTCTAGACTGTTCACAGTTCAATTTGGGTTTCATACTTTAATGGAAATTCTGCAAAATCAAATCTTAAAATAAATCTGAAAGAAACAGGCTAGATCAAAAGCTAGATCTGACTGCATCTGATTGGTGGAAGGGCTGGATTCAGTGGGTTGAATTTGATTGGTGGAAAGGGATGGATTCAGGGGGTTGGAGT